GCTGAGAACTGGCATACGGTTCTGGCCCCCTCTCTGCCTCCGATACAGAGCCCTCATCAGAGCCTCCCCCAGACTCCAGGACTGGCCCATGTTCCTCCCCAACCTCCTCACTGTCCGAATCTGCTGCCAGCTCTGCTGGTGAGCTGCAACAGATAATAAGAGAAAGTCTTCAAAGAAAAACCAGAAAATCCAGTTGCCTCTTGAAAAGGCATCTTTGGAACAAACGTGACCTGGATGACTGAGAATCTCCATAGACACTTAGATCTGGTTTGCAACACTTTTTTCCCTTTTTATTTCAAGGAATAAAATGCATTCACCCTTCGGAAAATTCAGATTAATTAGTCAAACCCACCAAGAAAGGAAACTTGTTTGTTCAGCCTGGTGTTCTCCAGATTCACATCTGTCTGTGCTTCCATTGGGAGCAATGGTTGAGCACATCTGGAGAACGACAGGTTGGGGGGAAGCTGGCTTTGATTACTGTTAAGCAGAAGAAGAGAATATGACTTACCAAGGGTTAATATAAAATGCCAAGAGATAATCAGTCCAAAGGCAGGAGGGTAACAGAGTTAGGAAAGCAAAGACACTCCTACGCCTGTGAGTATTAATAGATAACATACACAGATTTTTTTCATCAGAAAAAAAGGCAAGATTATTAATATGGCAAACAGAAATCAATACAGCAATTTATCATTTGTTAGACTTGGGCAGAGGGGCTTAGAGGCCCCCTAAATTTGGCCGGTCCTGAACTCTTCATCAGGCAAAGAAGTCTGCAATTGTGATGAAAAAGAGAAAGAAAATATGCACCCATTATTTTTTTTAGGATGCAGTTTATGTCTGCATTTAATTCATTTCTTTATTAAACAAATTTGAATGCCTGACCATTCCACCGAAAGCAACTCTGCGCAACCCACAACAATCAATGCAGAAAGAGAAGCTTAGCTAACAATTAAGTGAAAGGCTGACAATCCTTGACTGTCCCAGAGAATGTCTGTATTATGACTTGATAAAAAAAGGAAAGAAAGGAGGATGGAGAGGAGAAGACATTTCATGAGCTCCTACATCAGATTGCCCAGACTTTCAAGCGGTACGTGTGGGGTAGTCATTGAAAAACATCTCGTGAGATTAGACGGGTATCTCAATGAAATCTCATTGAGATGTGAAGTCTCAAACGTCATGACTCTGAGGGAGATGAAATAGATTCCCCCCATATTTTTTTAATTTCATTTGATAGAATAAGGGCACTACTTGAAGTCCAGTAGCTACTTTTATGCTCACATATGTAATATTAGCAAACTTTGAACTCTTTTGGATATGGAGGCATTTGTATATGTCTTAAGGAGACTTGGAATTGTTTCCTGGCCTAGGATTAGGGTCTTTCTCTCCCTCTCCCTCTTTCTCCCTCCCCCCTCTTTTTCATTTAGCTCTCATCTCTCTCTTTCCCTCCCTCCCTCGCCTCTCTTTTTTTATTTATCTCTCATTTCTCTCGGTCTCTCTCCCTCTCCCCCTATCATCTCTCTATCTCTTATCTCTTATCTCTTATCTCTTATCTCTTATCTCTTATATCTTATATCTTATATCTTATATCTTCATATCATAT